AAAAAAAATGATTTCTTCATACCACGTCATCAGTCTGTTCATCATCTTTTGAATCATCTTGTGGTTTATCTTTCTTGGGATGTTCAACTACTGGTGGAGCACTAATTGTTATAATAATGGCAAAGAAAAATAAAAGACTAGTTGTTCGTTTCATGACAAAATCTAAAAATATTTCAAATCAGACCGTATATAAGTTATTCATCTTTTATCTCCCAGGTAATAAACGACATGATCATACACAACAAAGGATATAAAAACATATGAATTAATACTCCTATCCAAACACGATATGCATCATTGAATCAGTTATATTTTGTATCATTATGGTAGGTAAAACTTACTGAAAAAATGACGCAAAATTAATATATTACTTGTCCATGGACAGACAGTATCCGTTAAATATGGATCTTATTGGATGTGTACGGGTGGTCGAATAAAGAACGTGAAAATCAGAGGTCGCTCATCGTTTTGAAATATTTACAAAACAAAGAAAGGTTAATCCGCATTCATAACATAAAGTGTATGTATAGGCCGATAGAGAATAGCTATTCTACATGTATATAGAAAATCGATCGCATTAATTGATAAAACGATCAATACGACCGGACGGTTGTTTACAATCATCTGAAACATATTTATTTTAAATCTGTTCGATTTTGTACGTCAATTTTTGAATAATCATAATGATTTAATGTAAGATAAATAAGAATTTATTCATATTAAACATAAAATATGAAAATATTCTCTTCTCAGACCTCGAACAGACTGAAAAAAATAAAATGAATTAAGCAACGTGATTGGTCTATTTCGATTTAAATCGTCTTTTTGAGATGATTTATTCGTTTTATTCAGTTTTAATTCACTTTGAATTAGTCGATCTGTTCGGAACCTTACATTTTATATCGTAGTATTATTCTCTTATGAGAAACAATTATTATATAATTAATGTTATATATTGATTTATTTCGACAAAAATATTAATTATTTTTTTTTGCGACTATTTGTATATAATTAAAGAAGTTCTATTCAGATAGTATTGTACTTCTGTTCTATGATAACATCAACTAGTAATCATCGAAATATCATTCTTAGCTTTCATGATTTCCTTCATCGAGAAAGTTATTATCGATATAGATAACTGTGTCCGGGTAGGATATTTAAGATAGAACAGAAAATAGACAGCCATCGAGCATATTCAAGGTACCTTTCAAATGATGAGATGGAGATAGAATAGTTTTTTTTCCTAATAAGAAGAAAGTATCTCAACTTGTTTTATTCTAGATGATCCGCCTACTTTCTGTAGTTATTGTCTTTTTAACATTCATCTATGCAATTGAATGTAAGAAATTCATAAGAAAATATTAAACTTAATTATGATATTCTTTTTAATTATTTAGGTTCACCTATAAAAAGTCCTAAAGCATGTTCGCCTGTTAAATGTCCAGGTAAACCAAAAAAATGTCCATATGGTTATCAAAAAAAAGATGGTTGTGAAATTTGTCGATGTAATGATCCATGTAATCCACCTGGAAAAGTAATTTTATTTGATTTGAAAAATTATTTTTTTTATTCTCAATAATTTCGTTTTTGTTTATCAGCCAATACATTGTGGATCTAAACAACGATGTTTTGTTGAGAAGAAACCTGATGGAACATTTGAAGGTCGTTGTGGTGACTCATCAAAGACAAGTCAAAAAGGAAAAAAAA